AAATTGTCACCAGCACACCAACTGATTGCCAAATTGTCACCAGCAGACCAACCGGTTGCCAAATTGTCACCAGCACACCAACTGGCTACCAAATTGTCACCAGCAGACCAACTGATTGCCAAATTGTCACCAGCACACCAACTGGTCGCCAAATTTTCACCAGCATGCCAACTGGTTGCAAAATTGTCACCAACACAACAATGGTCACCAGTACACCAACGGTAATATAAAAAAATAGCCATATTTTTTGCGGTTAAATATTTTTAGGATAAATTTTCATCAGTAGACCAACAGACGGGAACCGGTCACTAGTGCATGAACGGTAACCAACCGTTTGTCAGCGTACCAATGTAAACTGTTGAATTTTCGTTTTAATATTTCCAAACAAGGAGGAGGCTTATACTTAACATCAGATAAAGACAGCGGAAGTTTCTGGGACACATAATGAGGAAGGAAGGCCTGGAGAATCTGATACTCACGGGTCGAATAGAGGGAAAGAGAGACAAGTGAATGCAGCGCGTGACATACCTGACGAGCTTGTGCTGGTGGATGACAGAACATGGTCTGAGAGAGGAAGCAGAGGGAAGGAGCTTGCTGAAAGTTGCAAGGGATAGAGGGAGGTGGAGAGCCATGATCACCTACATCCTGAAAGAATATGGCACATAAAAAGAAAGAAACCTTGCCATTGGAGGTCATAGGGCAACGTGCATCCCAATAGTAAATGTTTAGCCTTTAGAATAACTAAAGAATAATGATGTCAGTTTTTAGTGACTGGTCAGCATGCCAGCCAATCGGAAACACTCTTTCCCATTTCTGTCAGCTATGACATAATACTTCATTAAACATCTAATTTTCTCGGCCATTCTATTGTCAGAAGGCATTTTATAGATTCTGTCAGCGTTCTATGTAGACAGTTGAGATGTTTTTGTTTTTTTTATTATTTCCATGTTTTGTGCCATTTGATCCATAAGCATTTTAGAAACTTCCCAGCAATATTTTATGAATCTTCTGGTTTTCCTTTTTTCTAATCCAGCTCTTCTAATGTTTTGCAGAGGAATTAATGAATCCTCAAGTTCCTACTCCTGAGAAATCCAAGCAGTTTGAAGAGAGAAAAACTACTCAAAAGTGATCTCAAAGGCAGAAATTGTATCACAAAATATATATCCACCAATAAAACCAAAAAAAGAAAAATAATTTTATGATATTCTGACACATGTTACAGTGTCGTGTAAAATTACAAACATGATTATATGAAAACAGATCAAAATAGTTGTTATATCGTAAGCTGTTTGGATAAACAAAAACAAATGAAAATAAAAGACAAGTGTATTTTAATACATAAATAAACAACTTTTATTCATTCACTGTCTGAGAACAGCAAGGATTGCATGGATTAAAATCGTGCATCACGCGTGTGTGTCAGCTTGTCGCCATGTTCAGTTTAGAAGTGGTGCGCTCGTCTTCACAGACACGGAAAGTAACTCAATTGTATTTTGAGTTATCGTCCACTATAGTGGAAGAAAATTAGCTTCCCCTAACAGGAAATATTATCCATTTCCTTATAAGCAAAGATTCAGAATTCAATGACCGAACAGCCAATGCTACACTCGGTTGAAATATTCTTTCTGAAAAATAGGTTACTCACGTCCACTGTTATCGCTCTTTCTAGCATTGATGAGGATTTCCTTCCTCACCTTTTGTTTGATGTAGTGTGGAACGTCGACATATTATAACATTATTTTCTCTTTAAGTTACACGTGCTATCCATTTTAGTTGTTTCTGCCGCTTAATGTCCTAAGTGACACGGTTTCTGTTATTTGGTATAGTTATTTGTTTTGGTTCTTTAGCGTCAGTCTGTGAGGTTTAAAGAATGATGGCCGTCGCCAGACCTATCGGCTTCATTCACTCGAAGCCATTTTAAGCATTGATCCGAGAAAGCTGTTGTATACAGCTAAGAGTTTAGATATTTATGAACAGGTTTGGCGTTAGGAATGACATCCAAGACAAAACGCCGATCTGCCGAAGCTGTTTAAATACATGACTTGAGCCCCCGTTTTAATGATAATAGTATTAAACCAATGAAATAATAGAGAATCTTCTGTTGTGTACAAGAAATAAGATTTGGAGTAAGGTTTTATAAACATATTTTTAATTATTCACTCGTAAATATTTCGTTATAAACAAAAAAAAAAAAAAAGAGTAAGAGTTATAATGTAATACCAGTTCTCATATATGGCAGTGAATGCCAGGCAATCTCCTCACATATGAAGAAGAGACTTGAAGCAACAGATATGTGATTCTATAGAAGTATGCTGTTAGTACCATTGACTGAAGATGTGAGCAACGACGATGTTTTAGGAGAAAATGGAAACAAAAAGGAAACTTATACTTAACATTTGGAAGAGACAGAAGAAATTTCTAGGGCAGATAAGGAGGGATTGGAAAATTTGGTACTCACAAGAGAGATAGAAGGCAAAAGGGCTGAAGAAGAACAAAGCATAACCTACCTAGTGACCTTGAGTAAATGAATGGCGGACACGGCACGTATTATTATTATTATTATTATTAGTAGTAGTAGTAGTTATAGTAGTAGTAGAAGAAGAAGAAGTAGTAGTAGTAGTAGTAGTAGTAGAAGAAGAAGAAGAAGAAGAAGAAGAATTAGCTTGGGTAAATGGATGGCGGGACAAGGTTTATGAGAGATAAGAAAAAGATCAAATTTATTAAGAGCGACAAAGGACAGAAGATTTGGAGAGCCATAATTGCTAACGTCCTGAAGGGTAGTAGTAGTAGTAGTAGCAGTAGTAGTAGTAGAAGAAGAAGAAGAAGAAGAAGAAGAAGAAGAAGAAGAAGAAGAAGAAGAAGGAATAGTTTGGTTAAATCGATTGCAGAACAAGGTTTAGGAGAGATAACAAAAAGACAAAATATATTAAGAGCGACAAAGGACAGGAAATTCTGGAGGGTAATGATCGCCTACGTTCTGAAGGGACACAGTATAAATAATAATAATAATAATAATAATAATAATAATAATAATAATAATAATAATAATAAGAAGAAGAAGAAGAAGAAGAAGAAGAATTAGCTTGAGTAAATGGCTGGCGTAACAAGTTTTAGGAGAGACAATAAAAGGACAAAATGTATTAAGAGCGACAAAAGCCAGGAAATTGTGGAGAGCCATGATCGCCTACTTTCTGAAGGGACACAGCCTATAGAAGAAGAAGAAGAAGAAGAAGAAGAAGAAGAAGAAATCGTTCGATTAAATCGATGGCAGAACAAGGAGAGATAACAAAGATACAAAATTTATAAAGAGCTACAAAAGCCAGGAAATTGTGGAGAGTAAAGATCGCCTACGCCCTGAAGGGAGCATAAAGAAGAAGAAGAAGAAGATGAAGAAGAAGAAGAAGAAGAAGAAGAAGAAGAAGAAAGAAGAAGAAGAAGAAATAGCTTGATTAAAAGATGGCGGAACAAGGTTTAGGAGATATATTAAAAAACACAAAATTCATTAAGAGCTACAAAGGACAGGTAATAGTGGAGAGCAATGATCACTAATCCTGATGTTACACGGCAGATAGAAGAAAAAGACATCTATATAAGATCTGGTTTGTTGCAAGACGTTGTACGTGATTACTTTTTTATGATGGCGGTAGGCAGAGGGGGGAGGTGGGTGGAAAATAGAGTAAGACAAATGAAAGAAGCCAGGTTGATGG